CCCCAAAACCCCAAAACCCCAAAACCCCAGTCAATAAAATAATAATTGAATTAATCATTGCTGTAATCACTCAAAATGAACTTTACTAATATGTTAAGCAAAATAGCAGAGACAGTTCTTATGATTCTTTATGCTATTTCAGGAGTTTATAGGTTATCCCTGCCTTTCCTACAAATGTGGATTCTTTATTACTTTCGAATATTGGAGATTAAATCAGAAAACATTCAACAAACTTGATCTATTGATAAATATTTTGCTGAAGAACAATTAATGACTAAGAATACTGTACAGAGTAGCTACCCCGGTAAGAACTTTGTGAGTGAGCAAACTAAACTGAAGGATGAGAAATTTGAACTTTGGCAAGTTGTTTCAACTCTGATGATCTGAGTAATGTATCTTCTATTCTTAAAATTTTGTAGAAATATCTCAGTGTGGTATGATGTGAAGTTTTGAAAATTTATATTCACTATATTTTATTTTATTAAAAGCATTGAATTTTGTTTGATCATTTCAAGAAATTTTAAGAACGAATCTAATGTTTCTTCTGATACCTTCTGATTTCCTAATTTAATCGCTCAGACTCTTTATGGAATCCTGTTTCATTACCAAAGGGACAAGCCTTATGGTCTAATGTTGAGATTGTTTCAAGGATCAGCCACTATTTTTATTGACATGGTGCTCCTTATGACAAGTGTATATTGGCTACATCTTGTCTCTTATTTATACAAGAATTTCGATTTTGTTGTAGGCTTCCTTTTTTTCTGGGTTTCCTTTAACCTTTACATCGAATTGATATATGCAAGAATAGATGGAAATCAAATGATTAAACCACTGGTTATAGAATTTATTGCAGTGCTTTTGCTTTCTTGAGAGTTTATAATCTATTTGAATTATTTTGAGCTCCTTGAAAATAATAGTTCTTCACATGACGGAATTAATTATTCTTCTTTATTTGTGTCTGTAGAGATATTGACCATTGCAAGTTATATTTATCATAAAACAAATAATTTATGCGAATCTACTCTGAATGGGCCTCAAAATTATGATAATTACTCTTGTAATCTTTTAAAAGACTTTACCCTACTCCAAATTGAGAAAAATCTAGTTCCAGATTGAAACTACTGTCTGAATAGTTTATCCCAAGCATGTATTGACAACAAGTCTTCTTTTAACAATATCTTCTTTAATGAATCTCCGAAATATTCCTTATCCATGGCAACAACATATATCAAAACGTATTGTGGCCATGTTTACCATCCTACTTGTTTCTTGACTATCAGAAACTCGACTCACAGGTGTCCTATATGCGAGAGCTACATTCATGATGGATTTTTATGTTAAGAATATTGGAAGTTAAAACAGAGCTCAAGGGGTTTCGAGATATATAGAATTCTCTCAGAAAATATATTGCTGATAAAATCCGAAATCTAAATTTCAATACTATCTATCTAAAAGGGGTTTTGGGGTTTTGGGGTTTTGGGG